CACTGCATAAAATCTTAAAATGGTTTGGTTTAGGTTTATTTTGTTTTACGGTATATCAACCATAATGGGTTATTTAATGCCGACAACATTTTTTATTGCTGGTAATATTTTGTTTTGTCAAAAATCTGTTTCTGGTAATATTTTTCCTTCAAAATTGTATTGCTGGTAATAATTTTTTTTTCAAAAAAGTATTGCTGGTAATAGTTAACTATTTGCCCATAGCTGGGACCCTAACAGGTGCTATGACCCTGGGTCAGGGTGGATCTTGGAACACCAGCAATTAAGAGGTGGTTCCACGCTCCTCAAAACCTCCTGATCAGAGGCCTTGCTGCTGGATGTAGTTTATCGTCTTACCCAGGATGATCTTAAAATGGAAAAACACATTTATTTTACAATGTTACAAAAGAAAGGTACAAATACAAAGGTTGCACGAAAATTTCCTCTTGTATGCCTATTATTGCAGGATCACAATTTTCTGAGGTTACAAAAAGTGGATTACCATCAGATATAAGGAAAAAGTGTTACTATTTTCAGAGAAATACACAAATTCAAAGACAAAAATATTACACCCTTTAAAAATGGAAAAAAGGGACAAACTTGGAGGAAGCAAAAAATTGCACAAGCCAGAAAATACAAAACTCACCCACCTCTGTTCTTAACTGAATACACAATAATACGATATCTCATCACAAAGTGGTTTTTGTGTTTTTACAGGTTGTTATCTTGAGGGCTTTTTGTAGTACTTTGCTGGAAAATTAAACTTGAAAGTTCTTTTGGTTTAAATTCTTCTCAGGAAAGCACAGAAAGGAATTTTCTGTCCTGGGGTTTGAATCTGTTGGCTTTTCTTTCTCTGTGCTGATTTATGACCTCCTTTGACTGGACCAGTTCTCTTGAAGTGTGGACACTAATCCCTTCTTCCTCCACAACTATTAATTGCTTTCTCAACAGTTCCTTCTTTCTGCTCTCTTTATCCACTCACAGTCCTTTTTATTGAAAAAAAGGATCTCATAACAACAGGCTTCAAGTTTTCACAAGGGCTTCAAGAGCTTGTTTCTCATTGGTCAATATATATGAAACCTTTCTCCAAGAATTTGAAAAATGAATCCGTGACAATTCAGCAAATAATTTTGGCGGTATCATTGGCTTGAGCCAAAAGGGCCATAAAAAAATGTAACAATTTTTATACAAACCATCTGGCCTTCAGAAAAATACTTATTTCAAATTCCAGTTGAGTTCATTACATTCACTTATGTGCAAATACACTTGAGAAAGATTTGAATTCATCTCTTCTCCCCCAGCTATGGGTAAATAATATGCCAAATTGAGCCAGTCTACAGTAGAAAGAAACAGTAGCCTATCTTCTGTGTTATCAGTTATAAATTAAAAGAGATATGATCGCCCATGTGTGTATCATGTATAGCACTTAACTGATTGGGTGAATGGTTGAGTAAGTACCCATGTAAATTCCCCTATTGCATGGTTACATATTTGAGCTTAAGAACGCAATAACAAATCACAAACATAATTGAAGGTCATTATTTAAAAGAAGTAAGAGGGTACAAACAAAAAGACTTAAAATTGACAAGTTTATCCACTTCAATAAAGCAGACATTTAACACATAAGAATGCTTATGGTGCAAAGACGGAAATAAACACCAGTACGGTCAAAAACCAATTGACAAATAAATGGTTTCTAAGTTGGGGGATTGTGCATTTCTTCTGGTTAATAAATTAATGCTTTGAAAATAAATATTTAACATTTTTCAACCAAGAGGTCACATTCCCACCAACAATAAAAAACATCCATCATGATCCCTTTGAAGTGTATTTAAGCAAAGTTTCTACACGGACAAAGATGAAGGTCGTTCTCAACGGATTCTCATCCAGTTCCTATCCCACAAACGCAGGTGTTCCTCAAGGCTCCATCCTAGGCCCCACTCTATTCCTTATCTACATAAATGACCTTCCTGATGCCATAACTTCCCAAGTTGGCATCTACGCGGAAGACAATACAATTTATTCCTGCCTCAAAAACAAATCTAGTCTCGCTGACAAAACTCACCTGGCCGTGCGTCTTGCAAAGGACCTCCAATTGATTGTGAACTGGGGCATGAATTGGCTGGTCAACTTCAACGTTTCTAAGACAAAACTGTTCTCTATTAATCACCATAGAGATTCTTCCCTTCCCTCCATTAGAATGTCTGACGCTCAACTTCTCGAGAGCAACTCTCTGCGGCTTCTCGGTCTCACGTTGACTGCTGACCTGAGATGGAATAAATACATTGAGTCAATTGCCTCGTCCACCGCAAGGAAAGTTTTTCTCCCCGGAGTTGATCCTCCAGATCTACAAATCAACAATTCGCTCTTGCATGAAGTATTGCTGCCATATATGGTCTGGTGCCCCTTCAGTTTGCCTTGGGGTTCTTGATAGGCTCCAGAGGCGGATATGCAATGTAGTTGGCCCTGCCCTGGCGTCTCGTCTACAGTCACTTTCTCACAGACACGTTGTCACCTCCCTCTGTCTGTTCTACAAATACTTTCATGGAAATTGCTCCGAGGAGCTGCATTCACTGGTTCCCAGACGTCATGAGTTCCAGGCTGGCATCCTGCTCTCACCCCTTCACTATCGAAACTCCTAAATGTAGCTGTCTCTTCTACTCTAATAGCTTCATGTCTCGCACCTCTCGCTTGTGGAACTCCCTTCCCTATTCCTGTTTCCCTGTGAGCTATAATCTCCAGCTATTCAAGTGTAATGTCAATCGACATCTCCAGTTGCCTTGATCTATCCACTACTCTCATCCTTTCTTCTATCACTCCTATCTGATCTTGCTCTAAATTTTCTGTAACCCCTTGCGTCCTAGTGGCTTCCCACCTTGCTTGGGGTGAAATGCTTAAAAAAAAAAAAGATGGTAGACAAAATAGGTATGTCGATTTTTAGTGGCTGAGCTGAACATGGGAATGAGTTATAGATTAAATTTTTATGAAGAGTTGCTGTTCAGACGTCAAGCTAACTAGATGTATTAGATTGTGTTTGTGTCTTTCAAGAGTTGGTTGTTTCATGTCAAAGGAAATGGATGTGTGAGATTTTGTGTTTGAAAGAAGTTCCCTAATAGGGGGTGTAGTAACCCCCACATGATAGAAGATGTACTCGTCAACGTGCTTAATAAAATAATAGTTAAGTTGAAAGTTCTCTTTGTTTATGCTTTTTGTCTCTGAATCCAAAGAACATTTTTGCAACACCGACCAAGAGAAGAAGAGGATTAAACTAAAACGACCAGTAATCAGCAGTCAGATGAGACCAAACCCAAAATGAAGGGTATACAACACTCTGGTGAAGCTCCTCATTGGATGCAAGATCGAAATAGTGGTCCTGAGTTTCTTAAGCACACAAGATAAACAATAGTTGAGACCTACTCAACTTCCACAATAATTCTCAATCAAGAGGCATCAAGGATTGAGCCTGACCATCTCAATGCAATTGTATTGCTGAGTGTGGGTTATGCCACTTGGTGTTTGCTAAAATGCCTGCTAGGGAGCACTCTTTAAGTATGTAAAAAAGCAATCATATTCTTTCTCTAGCTCTTTTTAGCTGTTGCTTCCAGATGTAGGCAAGTACAAATAAAGAATGCTGCCACTGAGGTGCGTTCACTTCTTTGGTCCTCTGTTGACTTTTTCACTCTCTCTCACACACACATACACACGTGTCTATCATGCATGCTTATTTCACACACATGCAAACAAACACATTCTTCTTATAGCTAGCTTTACTGTTTCTTCCTTTCATTACAATTGTGTACAAATGTAATTCCTTTTGTTACTAACATGCATTGTTGCTTGTGTCATATTCATTATTTTGTGTCATTTTATTTTTACCTGGACTCACATTGAGTTTGCCAATATTGTTTGCAGAATAAATGAAGCCCATAAATATTTAAGATAAAATGTCTATATATACATTATGACCAAAGAAGTGATGTCTGCAAAATAATGGTAACTTATTTTTATCCAAACATACTTAGTATCTCGCAAGATGAGAGACCAATCTCCAGGTTCACTGTCTTTAAACTCTGGCACTCAAGAGTGAAATTTAGTGTATACTTATTTATTTTTTTCGCCTCTACATAAATATTGAGGCAGAAAATTAACTAAGTCTAATCCTAGGGAACCATCTCTTCATAAAGTACCTCACCCTTGGAAGTTGGCTGGAGTCATTAACTGGCGTCTGAGATATTTCCAAAGCGTGGAAGTATCAAAAGGACTGGACTATTTTTGTACTCTACACCGTGTTAAAAAAAATAATCTTGTGCCGCATTCTGAATGAGGTGGACGTCCGGCTTAATGCTGTAGTATTGCATTCAATATTCGGATAGCCCCCACCCACCCACATAAAAGAAATGTCGAATTTTGCAACTGGGTATGAATACTTTGTATAACGCAGTTGTCTCCCCTTGAGAAGCGCTCTTTTGAATAGAAACAAATCATAACCGACATTTAAAAAAAAAAAAAAAAAGTTATTCTCGTGGCTCATTTTGCCGACTTTTAAAAAAATGGAAACTAATCGTCTTGACAACGATTATCCCAAATCAACAATAATTATTAATGTGTCCTTTTTGTGTTTACCGCCATTTGTCCTTCCTGTTTTTAGTGAATTCGACTAGCGTCTCTCGGAAGGCAAAGAGAAATCTAATCTCAGGCATAATTGATTCCTCCATCCATCTATCAAATATCCTTAAAAAATCTTCACGTTTTTCTCTTACTTATGAAGCCTTTTAAAATTAAGGCTTAAAAAAAATATCCTATGTTCATTTTTTTTTTTTTTTAGAAATATTCATTTTGGAAATAGAGAAATGCTTTCAGTGGTTGTTGAAGACTAGAAGACTTAATGAAAAATAAAATCCTCATGTTATGAGACGAGAGAGTAAAAATCATTTTGAAGAGAGGAAAAACGTTTGACATTATTTTAGAACAGAGAGGTACATTAACCCTTTCCGATGTCTGAAATGAATCCAGGTAGGGGTAAATTAAAGAAGAAATTAGACAAGATTGTCAAATACATTTGTCAAAATCGGCCGGAGAGAGTTCGGGAATATAGTAAAAAAAATAAGTTGGAGAAATTCCTGAAAGAAGTCATTGGAGATGATGGGAAAAATTTGCTTCATATTTGTTGTGGATACGCGAATTCTGGTTCACTGTTCAGGTAAGTAATTTTATTTACATAAACAGATCCTCTTTTTTTTTTTCATTAGGGTGCGACGGGTATATGTTTTTTTTTTTTTTTTTTAATCACGCGAAACAATAGTAGTTACTGTATTTTCCTTGACTAACTTCCATCATGTGACGTTTGGACCAACGAGATATTTTTTCTTCTGTCAAAATTAAACTTTAATGATTTTCTTTTATCCCTTTAGGCTTTAAATTGGTAACTTTTTTTTTTAAGCTTAAAATATCTACCTTACTTAAACTGACCGATTATAATTGAAAATTCCCTATTATTATCACGCTTCGCTTTAGTAAATTTGGGATAATACACACATTTTCATTGAAGAATGATCTTTTTTTTAAATTTAATATTTATTAAAAAAATTAAAACATAAAAGACTACAACAAAACAAAAAAAAAAAAAACCCACTAGTTTTACTCCCGTGTTTTTAAACCAAAATTTAAAAATGATTGAATGAAGTGACCTTTTTTATTTTAACTAGTGTTTTAGCAGGACATGAAAAGTATCATTTTATTTTCATCTAAAAATCTCCCTGACTTTGTCCGGTGATTTAAAATTCCGATCTCTTGATATTGTGATGTGAAGGATGCTGACAGAACCACAAAAATGTTTCATTTCAATATTTAACCGACAATATATATATATATATATATATATATATATATATATATATATATATATATATATATATTTTATTTCAACATTTTAGAGAGATTCCTCCACAGATATTTGATTAAAAAAAATTTATAAAAAATACTCTTTGCATAAAAATTTTTAATTTTAATTTCAACAAAGTTTTCTTCTTTGTGCTACAATTTGTAAGAAATTTAAATTTGGACAAAAGTTTGATATGAAAAATTATTTTTCATCCAATGTGTAGAACTGGAATTATTTTTAGCCGAGAGATGTTGTTTAGTTTTACTTTTTTTGTCTTGTTTCAGTTTAATTAATTTTTTGTTTTTTTTTTTTACACTCGACAAAAAGGTGTGACGTAATAAATGACAAATTACAAAAAGAAAATTTCTAAATTATATTGAAAAAAAAGTCCATGAAAAAATCAATTATTTAATTTTTGTTCTAACGAAAAGTTATATTTTTCATGATTTTATATTAAAAAAAAAAAAAAAAAAATGGAAAAATACATCTGAACAATTTGTACAAATTGAAATTTTTATGTCATGATGTTTTTTTTTTTTTTTTTTTTAGCTTCCCTGTTAATTTGTGGTATAAATAGTGATGGATGAGTTTTTGTGGTGAATGAACAGATTGTAATGAATGAATGAGTCGTGAATCAGTTTCAACAACTAGATCTGATAGTCGACCAACCTTTCCCCATTTCACCTTCGGCCTTTTGCCACAATTGTTTTAAGTAAAACAAATATATATTTTTCATTATTATTATTTTTTGATGAAAAGTAGTTTGCATGAGTTTAAAAAAATTAAAATCACTCATTTAGGAAACCTCAACGAACAACACAAAAATAATAACACATTTTTAAAACATTATTCTTAATTCTTGGAGGTAACTGAAAACTTTCCGATGTTTGGAAGATGCGAAAGTTGAAAGAGCCAGTTACAAGGAATGTGCTCAATTTTGAAGGCACTAGCGAAATGAGAGTTTACTTAAAGAAAGTTTAATGAACACCGAAAGGGTCTACAGTACACACTACAGCGATGTCTGTAGGTAGAGTTATATCTCCCACTCTCTTCCCTCAAACATTTCCAATAATTGTTCCTAGTTCAGTGTCACTAGGAGCAAGATAAGTTGTAACGTGGGATGATGGAAAGAAATAATAACACGTTGGAGAGGCGGAACTTTCAATAGCAAAAAGATTTGACACTATAAAGAAAGACCAAGTTAGGAACACACGGAAGAATTTTAAAATATTCCAACAGGTTTGAAGAGAAACAGCTGAAATGAGAAACAGAAAATAATAGGCGAAGAATTTGGCTGCCTAGAATAAGGCCAGAGATGTCCCGGGGGTTGGGTTGGGTGGGGGTTGCAGTTATAAAAGCTAAGGGAGATAATATCGCTTTCTTGAAGATGTAGAAATACAAAAAAAAAAAAAAAAAATGCATTTTCGTAGTCAAAATATCGAAATTAAACATTAATATTCCAGAATGTTAAATTTTAGCATCATTCAATGCCTGCATGTCAGCTTCTAGTAGCCTCCCGACCCTAATAAATAACTCTCTCCCTCTACCCATCTTGTATGACACTAAAAATTTCATAAATTCCAATGTCTGATTAATTATTAATAATATTGAAAATTGTATTTGAACAACATAAATTTTAAATTTCTGTATTCGATTACAGAAATGTTTTCATTGAAAAAATAAATTTATATAACCTCCGGGCACGAGGTTTGGGCTTGGGGGTGTGTCTGCTAAATTCCATCGTACGGGCATTTTATAAATTTTGGTTAAAAATTAAATATTGAGAAATAGACTAAATTTTAACATTTGTTTCGAATTTATTCTTAAAAAATATAATTAATTTTTTTGTTTTGTTTTTCGTTTTAAAGTCGTCACGATTTCCGTACCAATCTCGTTGTTCGTTCCTTCTTGGATCAAAACGGATTACATAGGATTTTTTCTCCATTTTTGTCATTTTCACTTCACACTTTGAAGTAGCTTCTTAGTTTATGTGCTTCTTCTTATCTGTAAAATAAAAATAAAATGCAATTGAAGAACTATCATTGAGTACAAGTGGTGTGTCCCTCCCACCCTACGGAAAAGTTAGTTTTTTTACTTAAGAATTTCAATTTTGAATGATTAATAAAATACTCATTATTTTCATTTATTGGTGTATGATTCATCTTCATATTTTTTGAAAAAGCAGATGCTGCTGCAATGTTCTAGAATCTGACCGAGAATTATTGAGCATGTAATTAGTGACTCATCAAAACCTGAAGAAATGAATAATACTGCAGAAATTTTTTAAAAATTGCTCCTTCAGTCATCATGCATCACGTTTTAATTTAAAAAAAAAAAAAAAATCTACTGAGTTGAACATATAATTTCCAACCATCAAGTGTTGAATGTAGTGAAACACAATTTATAAAAGAAAGACCTTGATTGTACAAGTATTACTGTTCTATTGACAATATAATTTCTTCCGTTCTCCGTAATTATGCTTATGTCCCCCATGGATCTGTCTTAGTCATTTTTGCTTGTGTGTGTTTGGATCCTGAAAACATTACATAATGAAACAATTTGGAAGGATTGGAAAGCCTAAGCTTACACACACACACACACACACACACACACACACACACAATATATATATATATATATATATATATATATATATATATATATATATAAATAAAATAGTACAACTAATATTGGGCCAAGTTCCAATTCTGACTGAGGGTGTTACATTCTATTTGCACTGATCCCTTTTATTTTTAACTCCCCCATCACACTGTTAACTATGAGTTAAACATTATGATTAGCCTGTGTTCTTTTAACCTTATGTAACTATTAGTCTTTGAGTTGGACTAATTCTGAATTCATGACAAAATTATGGTAATTCAGATATTAAAGGAACAAACTGTAGAAAATCTTAACTGCTCTATGTTCTGAAAGGATATAGTATAAATAAAAATTGTAGCTAGTTTTGAATTCAATTACAGGTTGAGTATCCTTTATCTGAAATTCCAAAATCCCCAAAATTTTTCAGGTGCTGACCTGACTTGCCACAAATGGACAAATTTCAGAAAACAACATGGCTACCCATAGCATGATTATTGCATTGCAATATTACAAATAAAATTCTGCCTTTTTTCAGTTTTCATTACATTTAAATGTAATCAGAATCCATGTTTTGTTTTTATACAAATACTGTATCTGCGTATATATTGTAACATTTAAATCAAAACATGATATCGTTGGTAGAGACTGATAGCTTATCAAATTTTCTTTCTCACAATCACTTGATGTCATCGATGATGTACACTCAGCCTCCAGTTTCTTTACACCTGATGTAGAAGTAGTGTTTGCAGTTGCATTTATATATCTTTTATAAGTAGTGATAATGTTTTTTTGTACACATAGAGAAAGTACAAAACATTATTTTTACATGAAATCTTAATTTCGCCAATTAAAAATCTGTATCGGTATGTACACAAAATTTATTAAATTTTATATGTAAAACTACTTTCAGTGTATGTTATTTATATATATATATATATATATAATGTATGTATGTGTGTGTTTAAGCTCAAGTTCAATTCCCAATGTCGTAACCTAGGGAAGGTTACTGAATAGAATCACATGAAGGTTGGTAATGGATGATAATATTTAGGACAAGAACAACACATATAAGATTCGCCAGTGGCACATAGTAGTCAACTGCTAGAAGTGAGTCAAGTGAATTTCACAATGAATCTCCAACTTCTGACCAACATACAGTATTTATTACTGTATTTATGTGAATGGGGACATGTCTATTATTGTCCATAGGTATGCTACAATACCCAAGTTGCCCCATTTTATAGATGCTATATACAAATTAAATAGCCTGTATTCCCAAATCTAAAACTGAAGCACATCTGGTCTCAAGAATTTTGGACAAAGAATTCTCAACTTGTATTTCTTTTTTTCAAAATTGTCATGTTCCTGAAGACTGATAGGATAGCTTTTGATATTGAACTAAAACAGATTTCCTTAGTCTAATATCAAAATTTAACATTGATGTAGTTGAATATTAATATTAACATCATTTAGTGTCCAGATGTGCAAATTTAGTTTTTCTTTTTAATACCAAAATAGAGAGGCCTGGACACCAGATGACACCAAAAATATTGTGTGTTATTTTCTCTGGAATGGACCAGATTCAAGAAATTCTAAGAAAATACGCACTTAGAATTCCTCTAAAATAGGCATTACATTAACTGATTGAAACCAAATTTAAGGGAGAAGTGCAAACAGGTAAAGTACAGTTGGTTTTACTAGGGTGCATAAAAACCACA